AAAGGAACGGCAGCAATGTTTGCGTAAGAGAGAACGCGATCGCGCAAAACTGTTTTGAAGGGCATCGTTTACAGACAAGAAAAGAAATTAAAGACCACGTAAGCACAGTGTAAATGTAAAGAGACATCCCCCTCGCGAGGGGCACGATCAAATGCAGAGCATTTCCGGGGGTGCACGACGTTAAGTAGTTTGCGTAACGTTAATGTTGTTGCACTTGTTTCTGTTGGTTGTTATATCATTGCTATCTCTCCCCACTCAATCACCATTTAACCTTAGGAAGCCCTAACCACACTGCTGACGAGAGAGCGCCGATACCCGCTTTATATTCCTAACCATCATTTTCTTTTCTACCACAGCTCTTCTTAGCCAATCCCCCTAAGTGGGTATGCACCCATCTCCCCGCGAGGGGGACTTGAGTAAATGCGTCGCATAGGGGGTGGGTGTATTGCGTTAACGTTTTGTGGCGCAGTGGGAAGAGCACCATGTACCTCGCGTTCCGCCCACAAGTAGTGAATGCGTTGTATCAGTAGCTTCTTGACGTAGTTTGAATGAGTCAAGGATATAAGGCTCGTTCGTAGCATTGGATTCTGTGTCGGTTTTGTGGCTCAGTGGGTAGAGCACCATGCACCTTGCGTTCCGCCCGCAGGGTCATGGAATCGAAACCGGGCGCCGGTAACTGCTATTTTTTTTTATAGTGTAGTGGCCTGGCTGCGGACTACGCTACTCAACGCGGGTCACATCGTGAGTTACTGAAATGCCCTGCATTTAAAATGCCATTAGACGATTCCTAAAAGAATCTGCACACACAAAAAAACTTCGCATCAAGCACATTTCCGTATGCCCAGTATACGGGCATACGGATGGTGGGGTAAAAAAATGATGATTTGCGGCGTCATTTCTGTAGCCACTCGTACATCCCGGCGCAAAACACGAAGGCATTTTCACAACAAAAAAGCGAACATTCGGAAACCGGAAGATTCAGGCGCACGTGTGGGGAACGAAATCGCTTCGAACGACGCGCGCCCGCCAAAGCACCCGCCTGTCCGCGCGCCCGATCAAGAGCAAGTGAAGAAAAGCGTGACTGCAGCGCCACTAGTTCGCGTGACCGCCACCACGGCCGCCTCGGGAGCGGAGCTGTGAAACTGAATTGTTCTAAAAACGTTGGCTCCATCGTTATCAGCAGCAGCAAAGATAAATTTGGCCCACGAATAGAGTGTACTAGCATTCTAGTACACTCTACCACGGAGGAAGGAGAGGTCCGTGAGTTTGGCCAGTGCCTCCTTTATAACTTTCAGTACCCGGTAAAAGCGGAAGAGAACAATGAGACTACTCCGTCGGCGCGAGTGCGGCATCTCGCCACCAGGTGCCGCTGCCTAAACAGGGTGCCGGAGTTCGCTACGTGCCGCAGCCGCCGTGGTTCTGGCTACGCGCTCAAAATTAAACAGATTGATATGTGGGGTTTAACGTGCCAAAACCACTATATGATTATGAGAGACGCCGTAGTGGAGGGCTCCGGAAATTTCGACCACCTGGGGTTCTTTAACGTGCACCCAAATCTGAGCACACGGGCCTACAACATTTCCGCCTCCATCGGAAATGCAGCCGGGATTTGAACCCGCGACCTGCGGGTCAGCAGCCGAGTACCTTAGCCACTAGACCACCGCGGCGGGGCAAAATTAAACAGATTAAATCCTTATTGTTCTGCGCTCAAACCTCAATATATCACGGCTGTAGTCGCTGAATTATGTTACCGAGTGTTTCAGAGATCTGGTTGCTAACTTTCACGCACTAGCCACAAGTGAAGAACGCCACGCTAAATGAATACCAAAAACACGCCGCGTACGCACACACCTACATGCTTGGACATGATGTACATGAATTTCCAACGTTGACTTGCCATGCATCGCAGCTCTATATTCTGCAAAATGAACCTAATTGACGTCATACGAATTCATAAAAAAGAAGGAACATTTATTTGTAAGTACCTCTATTTTGGGTAGCCTCACAGTTTTGCATATTTTCTTGACAGGGGCTTTTTCGCGAAGTACTTGAAAGCATCATGCTTGTCACTGACAGTGAATGCATAGTTCACCAGCAGAGGCCGCGAAAACCGAACAGATATCAGCTCCATGAGCTTAGCTCTGTGAGTGTCATCCATCTCCTTGTACTTAATTGAGCAGGTTTGAAGCACACAGTGCTGGCAGACCAGGGTAGACAATGGCTTTTTTAGAGTCGGATTGTCCTTCAGAGCCCGATCCGCAAATGCCATCAGCATGTCAACGGCAAGCAGCAACTGGTCTGACGGGTAAAGTACCCCACCTCGGTCTTGGCTGCGAGTGAACTGCAAGATAGGCTCATTGCTCGCTGGCTTATGTGCAGACTGCAGTGCAACTTCCACAACACATTTGCTCGTTTATGACGCGGGCAATATAGCCCCCAACATAAACAGTTGCAGAAATCTCAAGTGACGGCAAGTGCTGAGGCAAGACTGTTGCATTGAGCCGTTGCAAAACACATGCAGCTCTCTATAGCCGAGGTGGCTGCTGTGCTAGCGAAGGAGAAGCTTCAGTGAGCAGTGTGCCTGTTGACATCTGGGCACATTCTCTGCGTGCAACGTTTGATGCCATGCTGGATGCGGCAAGTCCAGTTTTTAAAACCTTCTCCAGCCCTTTCAAAACAGAACGAACATTCAGCATGCCATTGCAGCTAGAGGACATCCGCAGTTTTCCAAACGGCGACTCAATGGGGTCACTATTAAACTTACGAGTGAGCACAAACAAGAACTTCTCCTTTGTGAGCAGGTACTTGATACAGGCAACTGTGGAATATGTGGTCAGGAGGAATGCTTCATACATTTCTTTTGTCGAAAATTCCTTTTGACTTCGACAGCTTTTTCTAGTTCATCCAAGTACAAGGGCAGCGTGACCCAGCTCGAGCCACTCCAGTCTTGCATCTTCAGCATCGTCAAACTGCCGAGTGTCAGGCCAATTTTTGTGGATATACTGGGTCGTATTGCTTGTATCATGCAGCACAAACCAACCGTGGATATGTTTTGCATGAAAATGATGGTCTGGCCTGCAGCTGCGAATGATGCCCAGCTTGGTCTCTGAGATGCTCCAGGGCTGCAGTAACACCAGGCGAGAAAACCTGAATTCCCCTGGCAACATTCATTTTTTCTATGTTACTCGGATAGACATGTTTTCGGCTGAGGTAGCGGACAGGCTTTACAACTACCTGGGTCGTAGAGCTTCTTGATGTAGCAGAATGAGACTTCTCCTTTCGTACCAATGTCGTGGGCCAGAAACTGCGAGCGCACGTTTTTTTAAAACGTAGCATAGATCAAAACTTAAAAAAGAGGAGCCTGTCGCAGTCACAGGGATGTTCTATCTGGTACGTAAGAAGACCATCGCCCAAATGTGTCATGGCATTGGCGTTCACTCTGTGGTTATCACTCACTAAGCGAACTACCCTGAAACCACAGGCTTCTACTTTTTCAAGCACAAAAATCAACAACTTGTGAAGCCGTGGGCCGGTTAACACCTTGGTAAAATAGTAGGCCACTGGAATACGATACATCGATAGTCCTGTAATTAGGAAGCAGAGTTTGCTAAGGTGAGGTCCCCACCATGTTGTTCCAAAGAGACATCTGCGTGCCCCACAAAGCAGTCCTGCTGTTTGTTGTACTGCAGCTTTTCCCTGATCTTCATTTCGTCGACTATGAGTAAACACACCCTTGACTGTGGTACAGTCAAGCTTTCGGCTTCTACTCTAAGGCGAGCTTCGGCGAGTTTGCTGAAGCCTGTTTCTCCACTGGTGGTTCCCAAGTAGTTGCTCAAAGTCTTTCTGCAAGGAAGCTTCAAAAGCATTTCACTGCGGATGTGTCCGTACGCCCTTATCGACAAATGCCTTAAAACTACACAACGTCGGGTTGTCTGCTCAGACCAGTTCGGCCTCTTCTTCTTGAAGTTCTCAATTTCACCAATCAAGAATAAAGCTGCAGGTTCCTTTTCTTTCGCCCTTTCCTTGATGTAGGAAACATCCGCAACCAGGGCATCCTCGTGCAGCTTTTTCAATTCCATCTTGTACTTGTCAACGGTCTGTTGCAGTCGAAGCAGCTGGCTCCTCAACTCCTTTTCTTTTCTTCTCCAATTCGCTATCTCAGCGACAAGCACACTTGAAGTTGACCTGCTGTCTACCTGGACGCCTTGATGACGCAAATTGGCCTCCGACGATGTGTCCATCGCGCAACAATCCGACATATGTTCCACTGCCGAAGCAACGATGCCGCTCTTGGAGTCGCTGCGTGCCATTGTAGCACTCACTCGTTTGTCGATGCTTGGTGTATTTCGCGCCAGAGTTGATTACGGCTGGAGATGGGGCGGGTATTCTTCAAAAACTGACGGCACAGCCCCTTTCTTTAGGCGTCGCCGCTTACCTTAGATGAAGTCCTCTTCTTTGAAGTGGCGACTGCATACTTTGGTGTAGCATGAGGTGGTGTTCGGCGACTATACTTGCCTCGTCGTATTGCGGCAAGCCAGCGCGCTCGAGCGTCTGCGTCAGCGGGTAGTTCATTAAAGGAAAGCCCTGCCGTTTTTTCTTCTCGTCCGATTTCCACAGCGGAACACAGCAGTAGGCTATCGTAAAGAATTCTACGCACGTAATTGCCGAAAACTGTCCCAAAAAACGAAGTTGCGCACCACTGAACGAGTTGCACGCAACACCCGGACGAAATGGCAGCAGCGGCTGGATGGATGGACGGAATGTGGCTGTACCCTTCCGGCTGATGATGATGATGATGATCACTGTGGTTTTCTCTTTTATACGGGAAAGGGGAGGGGCACCTTTTAATATCCTGACCGGAACAAATACAAATAAAAAACAAAAAGGAAAGAAATTTTGTTTATTTAGCGCCCCTAGCGGCAGCAGAAAAAAGTGGCGTTCGACGGCGTTCGACGGTGGTGTGCCCGGCACAGATTTTTATGCAGGAGGCACTGGTTTGGCATGTATGGAGGGAAAGAAGCAGTAGGGCAGTAGTTTGAAAGATGGTACATTTTGCTCGATCTGTGCAGTGTTTGTTGTTGTTGACTTACGTGCGAGTGTTGATTTCGTGTGTCTACAGTCGACGAAGCAGCTTTCGATTGTTGTTGCCCTCTGGCTTAGCTTTAGGGGTGTGAAAAGGAGTGATGATTCGAAGACTGCGTGATAACTACGCCACGCTACAGTGGCTAGATCTAGCCACTGTAGCCACGCGGTCGTGTGCAAAATTTTCTTTCGAATTTTGCAAAGGACGACAAAAGTATGTCATCGATTCAAGTCAGAGGAAATGTTCAGTGAGCTTGTACTGACTGGTAGCAGCTGCTACAGCTTGGAAGTACTGTGTATTGTGGTCTGATACAGCGTCTGTGTCGTCGCCGTTTGCTGGTTCCCGTTTAGTGCATCGCATAGGCGCGCTGCGCAGGAACTCGCCTTTCACGTGACTGTTGTGTTCCACGATTTCGTATTTGGTTCTGCTTTGTGAAGCAACTCAAACGCAGTCGTCGGATATGTGAGCGGACTGCGGTCTGACATGATGATGAGCGCGCGTTGGCCATGCCGGTGTCAGGCGGGAAATTTCGATCGCTATTTGATCCTACAGCGTTATTTGGGTTAATCAGCGACTATTGCTAATCGGGATGATTAAATCTGCTTCAATAATAACAGGACAAAGGGTGGTGCCAAGATTTCTCTAGAAGGCTAGGGGCAGTTTCGTCGAGTAGCCGCGAGGTTGGGAATGTATTTGTTGTGTTTGAAAAATGTTTGTACTTAGGGGAGCAATGTAAGAAAATTTTCAATGGGTTAAAGCCTCTCGAAAATGCAGAACAGAGGATGAAGAAGTGAGACAGGGCCTCATCTCGCAACTATATGTAAGTTCTCTGAAAAAGGTACTGCACCATGAGGCTGATGAATAGATAGACTGCACTGAGCTAGTTTTGGCAGCTGCACCTGAGACTTCCACCCCAAAAATCCTGCCTGTTTGATCATTCCATTTTTACACTTATTTCTTGTTGAGTGTTCTTATACCTTTGACTTGCATGTATGTAAAGGACTAAAGTTTTTCTGACTAAGCAAGTATCTCTAATACTTCAGACACTTAAGGATGAAAAACTCCTCTTACATTATTTCTCACACATCATAGTGTTTGACTAGTAATGTCAAACATTATGAGTTTGACTTTATATTGGAAAAGGGGGGTAATATATTACTCGAATTTAAAGGAACACTAAACGTAACTATTAAGACAATGTTTATTGTTGAAATAGCAGTCCAGAAACTTTGTAGTTTTACTTTTGTGCCAAGGAAGTATTTATTTTGAAAAAAAATCACGTTTTAGTAGTCCGCATCTGTTTAGCACACTTCAAATTACCTGTCCGAAGTGGAACGTGTCGCGTCACTGTTGCCATGCACAACGTTGCACAGTTTTACTGTGCGGCCGTCGACACTTGTAGCAGCAGAGCGAAAGTAGCTGAAGCCACAGCCGCAAAAATGGCCATTGAACAGTTTCCTGCCACGGCCTGCGAGGGGGCAGGCGTGCTTGGTTCAACTGGGCACCGCTAGATGGCAGGACCTGTCCAGTTTAACCAGGCGAAAGTTGAACCTTTGAACCACTCACACCATTCCTTATAGTAACGTCCGGCAGTTCTTTTTTCCACTAATCAAACAGAAACAAACAGGCAGCATTTTATTACGTCTCTTGATGCACGAAAGGTTCTTTATTTAGTGCACCTAGTTCGATTACTAGGAATTAATTTTAAGTGGTATTTTTCACGTCATTGGGATCGCTTTGCTAATGTCTTATGCGTAGTGCAAGTGTTCTCGTGCATTCACCTTAATTTCTCGGTACGTATGGCACAGCTGTTGATAATATTGTTGTTTTAGATGTTGTCATTCATTGAGCTTTCACGCTGACGTAAATTGTCATTTGACTTTAGTGTCCTTTTAACGTGACTGGTACGTCGCTGGGTTATCAAAGGCAGTAGATCAGGTTTAAAAGTGTAGGATTCCGCTAACATCTACGAAAGTCTAAATGCACAATCTTCTTTGAGTTTTCTTCCCACAGAAGTCTCGCAAGCCATGAACCCCAGACCTTGTGCTTAGCAACGGAGAACCATAACAACCATTACAGGTTTGGTAGTTTGTAAAGTAGATTAGCTACAAGCTTTAATGATATACTTGATGTGTTAGCTCATAACATATGCTTTATATCTTTGTCATGCGTGTTCTCCACCTTTCCGTTGCTGTTTTATTCAGCTGAAATCTTTATGCCGTGCCCTCTTTCATTCATTACAGAGGCCTCAGCCATTCTGCTGGCCAGTGCATGGAAGAGAGCATCAAAGGAGCAGAGTAAACCAGTGCTGAAAACAACTTTAGATCTTCATATCTTAATGAACGAGTCTACTGATATTGCCGCAGCACAGTTCCTCCCACAGCCTCAATTATATTTTTGTTGAGATGCCAAAATTTGTGCACAATGATCTGGTCTGTGGAATGTAGGCATTCTGCTAGGGACAAGTATGTGCACAAGTATAGGTGCCTTATGGAGAACATGGACACAGAAGATTGCCGCATCTTCTAGGAACCTTTCCGTATTTGGACGCTTTGTGCCCCTGCAACATGTTTTTCCTTGGTTTTGAAGAGCTGCACTAATATAAAGATATTTGTACAGTTCTACCAAGTTGCCAGGCTCAACTACTTTTGTAATTAACGAAATACTGATGACAGGAAAATTGTGTTGGTGTGTAAATCGTGGCACGATTTTGTCAGTACCTGTATTCTATTCATCTTTGCCCTTTCCTCAAACACAAACGAGGTATGTTTCAGACTACATGGTCTACAATCTTGCAGGTTGAATGAACTGGTATAGTACACTTTATGCATCCAAACTGGCCCGTGTGGGCTTGGATTAACACGTGAGTGTTAAATAGCTCGTTTGGCAAAAATTTCAGCGACGGTGATGACATGGGCGTCATTGTGAGTGAAAAATGATCTTCTCTGAGGCAGAAAACCAGAAACGATTCAAAGAATATAAGTGATAAAATTACCCTTGCCAAAATGAAGATTGGACACAGGCAATCTGCGTAGCACACAGGTATTATACTGCAGAGCCACAATATTTGATAAAACTGCTTTGTAAAAATACTAGATGATGGATGCATTGAATATTGCATGGCAGAGGCGTCGATTTGCACCAGGCATCAAAACATGTGAAATGAGCAAGGAGTAGGTGTGTTAAAAGCCCACTTATTACAGAGTGCTCAGACATATTTAATCATCATCAGCTGCATTCTTGGAAACAATGTAAACAGCTGCGCATTGCATTCACGTGTTGCCCTATGAACACAAAGTGAGGCCTTTGCTGATTTCCAAAAGGAGTAATTATGGCATAGTGGGCACTTAACAAATGTGCTTGCAATTGGAATTTTATAATACTTTGAAACAGTCCATATTATGCACACAGTCATTAGTTCTCCTACGGTACAGTTTAGACATCCACCGAGAATGGAGGAAGGCCAGCATTTCACAAGGCAATGCGTATGAAGCCCGATTACGCCCTCTCGATCTGCTCTTGAAAGTGAAGCTCAACCGTGCTCCAATTTTTTTAGGGGGCATACAGGCGTCGACACTGTTATTCCGAATGCCTTGTGCAGTCATATAAAGAACATTAGCCGTATTAAACATTTTAGAATTTACCTCATCAGAGGACCCTATGTGCAGGCATGTATGAAGTGCTTTGATTACATTTATCACAGATTATGTGTGTTGTGCTTTCCGTTGCAGGATTTAGTTCCATGTTTAGTACCTGTTGTTCACCTTGTGCCATTTGTTGCATAAAATGTTGCTTTGTCTGAAGGTAAAACCCTTCAATATCTTATACTCGTGGTGTCTGGTGTCCAGCTCCCAGGCATGGCGCTAGCCTTGGCGTCTCCCCCTCACGCAGGAGGATAAGGGAGCCTTATGAGAGCTGGAACACAGATGGCGTCAGCTCGGCGCATAAAACGTTAAAATATGTACGCATGTGAAGTGCAGGCAGATTAGTCTCGCGTCACACTGCGATTTGCACTAAGAATTAAAAAAAGGAACATACATTTTTCATTTGTGGGCATTGCACTGATTATGGGAAAGAAAGACATGGCATAGTCGGTCGAATGGCTAGAGGCTTTTCGCCAAACACACTTCAAAATTTTAATGTGTCCTGCAATTTTTTCCATTTTTCACTGTGGCTATAATCTTGACCCACTGTGCAGTAGTTACACTTTCTATCTATTCTATCTCACCCTGCAAGACTAACTCTGACCTGATGAAAATGCATTGTTTTGACTTTTGCAGACTTGTCGCTTCGTCGCCCGGGTCAGCCAGCCAGTTTGGGCCGTCGCAGGATAGGACACCTGTGGAAGTGTCCCGAGTGTGGCTATGTCACAAAGAACCGCGCTCATATGTCAGCACACCAAATAACACACACAGGCGAGCGCCCATTCATATGTGACCACTGCGGCAAAACCTTCAGTCAGAAGTCCCACGTGGTCGGGCACATTCGCACCCACACCGGTGAGAGACCTTACCAGTGCCACCTCTGTCCCTGGGATTCTGCATGGAAAAGTGAGCTTACACGTCACTTGAAGAACATTCACAAGTGCAGCCAACACTCACCTCAAAGTGCACACGTGTGAATCGCAAAGAAAACGACTGAGGAGACGTCTTGTTCTGTGGCTTCAAGTGCGTTGCCAAAAGTGCTAAGGTGAGGACTACATCGTTCATGCCTGGAGAAAACCTACAACTGTGCTGCTTGAACGACATAAAGTACGCGCGTAACTCCAGGACACGTGCCAGCAATGTGCAAAACTTGTGACTTCCCAACACTCATGACTTCCCAACAAGTGCACACATGTACACATGAAACTCATGACTTCCCAAGTGCACACATGTTCCTACTTTCTTCTGGTAAGCTGTGTTGCTTTCAGGATGTTTTCATGTCTCATGGCAGCTCCTGTCCATTTTTCGGAAAGAATGCTGCTTGAACTTATTATTACTTCAGGCAAATGCCAACAAACTTTTTGTTAACCAGAGCCAAAGAGGATGCATTTCATGATGTGATAATTTTTTCGAACCATTGGCTATATTCCATGTCGCACGCATGCTGCCTCTGTTTGATTTAAAGCAACACCTGGTGTTGTGTTCTGACAAGAAAGCGTGCACATTTTTCCTTAGCCTGGCGAAGTTGCTATTATTCCAGAATAAGCCATCTTTAAGTGTTGTTGTTTATTTGGAGGCGTTGAAATTGACTGTGCTTCTGCGTTAGTAAAATATTGCCAATGACTTTTCTTAAAGTATCTTCATCATACATTTTAATGTGGAGCACATCAGTTCATCATAATGAAACCTAGTTCATCATAGTAGAACCCATGTGATTATGACACTTTGCTCCCTTCTTGTTTTCTTGCCTTTTTTTTTCATAAGAGTGCTTTCTCATTCATCGCATCAATTCTGCTCCGTTTCTTTTTTTCTTAAAGGGAACTGCACATGACCACATCCTTTCGTCTAGTTAAATAAGTGTAGGTGTAATAGCTCATCCCAAACAACGCGTCAAGTGCCCGAGTGAGAGTGGATGTAGAGAATTACTCTCAAGTTTTACCTTCTGGTTGATGTTTATGTTTCAGAATATTCTCCATTGTAGAACATTTAGAAGTGTAGCAAGTTCGATGTCACAGTCAAGGTTTTTTTTGCTAACTGGCTTTTTTGTTTTATTAGTGTTGAAAAATTGACTTTGAGGAACTGTGGACTTTTTGAGGTGTGGTAGTTCTGCATTAAAGAGTTAACAATGTGAGAGTGTCGGTCAGTGGTTTTCGTCCCTCAGTTCTGGCCAGGGTGCGTACAGGCCCTTGATATCCTTGAAAGACCTTGCATTTGAAAAGTGTGTTTTCAAGGCTCTTGAAATCTCTGTAAATTATTCCCGTTCTTTAATGTCCTTGAATTTCCCAAACAATGCTTTCGCAATCGGCACTGCAGCCTTCTTAATATGATAGGCGCCGTTTACCTGACAAACTCCCCATTTTAGAAACAGCAATTTGGTGTGAGTGCACGTGGTTTCATTTTGCTAAGCTGCACAGGGGAAAAAAAAAAGTTACTTGGGGTCAAACCACGAACGAATGAATGAGAGACACGTATTGCTTGTCGGTGCTGGCTTTTCCCTTTTTTCCAAAACGTGAAGCTAAAGTAAATAATGCAGACTAGACATGTTTGTTATAATTGTCATATCCATGTATTTAATTTAATGTAGTAAAATTAGTCTTTTTTGGAAACCTTAGAGTATAAAGGAATTGCAACCTTGTGTGTCGCTTTGAGTCCTTGAAACACCTGTCGCAGTTTCTGAAACGTTTTGAATATTCGCTTTGGAAACCTTTGCAACCGTTGGTTCTGCTGCAGCAGTGTTTCTTTTTGGTGGTCTTCTCGAAAGCATGATATGCTATTTCATGCAAATGGAAATGCCTTTTTTTTATTGCCTAATACTCTAGCAAACCAGGGAGGCAAATACGCAAACAAAAAATGCTAGACTGGTTTTGTCAAATTCGTTGAGGTCTGTGAATGATTGATTAAACCATTAATATATGTAGTATGCATTCTTCTAGCTTCTTCTTTGGAAATAGGCCTAAATGCATTTCTAAGGCGTAATTCATTGTGTATTGCTGTGAGTAAATGGGTGAGTAGAAAATCAGTGGCAGCAAGACACAGTGTTGTATTATAGAATGAAGCGTTGGAATAGTGTTGCATTTGAATTATTATCCTTCATAATTCACTGCAAATTGTTCACTTTCCAGTGTATCGGAAGTGCTCAGATGTTTCTCTCTTTGTTGAATGAATGTACTGTAACAATTTCTGTTTGATTTCGCTACTGCCGCTTAATCACTTCACAACATGAGCTCCAGAAAAAACCACATCATAGTCTTTTTTCGTTCTAAAATCACTAGCAAAGAAAATCATACCTGGCGAATATACACAAGGCAGGTGCAAGCTTGCAGATCTCTTGCAATTATTCAATAAATGTAGACTAAATTATCAAAGTATATTTGACCAATATAAAGGCCACTGGACAGGCACATATCAGTTGCAGATGAGGGCCTCATCTCATGGCAGTCGCTTAGTAGCTTGGACATGAGCTCTCTGTAAGTGGCCATTGAGAAACCTCGCATAAATGACAGTCTGTCAACATCTTCTGTGGCTGCCGTAATAATAGTGAACAAAGATACAATGTTAAAGGGACACTAAAGTAAAAAACAATTGAAGCTCAATGTATGACAACTTATAAAACAAAAGTATTGTGAACAGCAGTGCCCTACTTACCTGATATTCAAATGAATATAGAGAATACATGCTCTACGATTGAACATTTGCAAAATGATCCTGATTACGTCAGAGGTACCACCTACAATTTATCACTCGTCGCACTAAATAAAGAACCTTCCGAGCATCAAGAGGCATAATAAAATGCTGCTTGTTCATGTCTGTTTTATTTTTGGAAAAATGAACCGCCGGAGGTTGCTATGGGAAATAACGCGAGCGGTTCGAAAGTTCAATTTTCGCCTACTTAAACTAGATGAATTTCGCCATCTAGTGGGGCCTAGTTGAATCAATCTTGTCTGCCACCTCGCAAGCCATGGCAGGAAAGTGTTCAATGTTCGTTGTTGCTGCTGTGGCTCCGGCCACAAAAGTAACACTACGAGGTTTCTGGACGGCTATTTCAACAATCAAGGTTGACTTAATAGTTGCCTTTAGTGTCCTTTTAATCATGTAATAATAATTTATGGGGTGTAACGTCCTAAAACCAAGGTTTGAGAGACGCCTTAGTGGAGGGCTCTGGAAATTTCATCCACCTAGGGGTTCTTTAATGTGCACCTAAACACATGGGCCTCAGGCATATCTGCCTCCATCAAAAATGGAGTCGTCGGTGCCAGAATTTGATACAATGTTAATCATACTGACTACTTTAGCATTGACTCCTTCAAGGCAAATAATTGTGATACACTTGTTTAGCCATATATCAGGAAGTTCTGGTGCATTCAACTTGTTTTTGTCACTTATAAACTTTAATGCGGGTTATAAGAGTTGATAATTTTCTCACTTTGCACTCTTGCTAACCTTTGTAACCAGTGTAAAGTAATTTTACTAGCTGGGCTCTTTATTTTTTCCTTCAATCACAACTGTGTTGTTTTATTACAGATTTATCATTTTGGATTGCGCAGGCTTTGCTGCTATTCATCATCACCCTGACCAGCCAGCTCGTCTGAGATCTTCGACAAAAGAGCGTGTGTTCACATGTTATGTGTGTGGCTATACTTCAAAACACAAATCAGTCATACGGAGACACCATATGATACATACAGGCGAGCGTCCGTTCAAATGCGAGTACTGCGGAAAAACCTTCAATAAGAAGTTCAACTTAAGCACGCATATTCGCATCCACACTGGCGAAAGACCTTACCAGTGCCACCTCTGTCCCTGGAATTCTGCATGGAAGAAAGAGCTTATGCGCCACTTGGAAACTCACAAGCAGAGAAAACATTCACCTGAGGGTGCACATATATGAACTGTGAAGGAAGAGGCTAAGGAGGCACGTGGTGTGTGCGTCTCATGCTCTAGGTTCAAGTGCTGTGCCAGAAGTACCAAGGTCGGCGATACTTTGTCCATGCCCCAGTGAAGTTTGCAACTATGTGCACCAAACTTATTGGATGTTGTGATAAATGTTGTGGACTTGTTCCATTAGGTACACATTAGACTGAGTGTGCGGAACGTGGAAGTGATATGTGCTCTTATTCGTGTGTTTATGCATCCTGTGATGTTGAATTGCATCCCGAATAGGTGAAGGAGCTGTTTTTTTTATCTTTAGAAATGAGTCATTACTGTGGTTTGCTAAAAGGCACAGCATTTCTTGCAAAAGCGAACGCTGATTGTTTTTCACCGAAATGTGTTTGTGCAAGGGCCCAGCCTTAATGTTAATCTCAAAACAGAAGCGCTCTGTAGTTCTGCAGTTCCTGACTTGTAGCAGTGAGATCTCCTTAATGAGCAAGCATGTGCTTTTGTTAACTTTCTTCTGCTCAGCTGAGCAGCGTCCAGGCTGTCTTTGTGTGTAATGCCAGGCTGATCTCCAATTCTTGGACTTACCATTGTCATAACTATAACCAATGTCTTTTTCTTAAATTGAGCCAAAAAATGAAGTATTTAATTGTGTGTCATTTGTGTAGTACCAGTTGCTATATTGCATGTCCCACGCATGCTGTCTTTATGCTGGATTTCAGGCATCTCCTGGTCAAGTGTTGAAGAAGTGTGGGCATTTTTCACGTGCCTTGCCATATTACACTTATTGGATGCTCAGCCAGCTTTAAACATTGTTGTTTCATGGGAGGTTTATAGGATTTGCTGTAGTCTTTTGTTAGCAAAGCTCTTTCTTTAATGCTTCTTGACCTATCTTCATAACATTAGTATTTATGTGTTGATGGAGGTACTCCTTAGTTCATTATAGAATGCTGTGGGCAGAACTCAATGGAACCCATTTTTATGTGACACTTGGCTCCCTTCTTATTTTCTTGCTGCTCCCATGTATGTGCGCTTTCTCATTCATCATTGTAATTCTGCTCCATTTTTCTGCTTAGAGAGATGCACATATTCACACACACTTTTGACTGGTTTATAAGAAGCGTCAATTATGGTGTGTTTCAGTTTTGTGGTTGCCAGTTTCGGTTTCGTGTAAAGTATTTCGCCCTCGGGGGGCACTACGCTGTGTATATATGCACGGCATTGTATATAATAAAAGAGTTCCTGCTTGGCCACCGGCTGCTGCGTACGTCGTGTCGGCCGGCGCTTCAGCGCCGTGCCCAGCGTTTGCCGCACAATACTACATCAATGTAATAGCCCATCCCGAAAGCGAACAATGCATCATGTGGCATAGCATGGATAGATATAGCGAATTACTCCCAGTGCTGCCTTCCTGGCATTTCAGAATGTCCCTCTTTGCAGAACCTTTGATAATGCAGCAAATTCCATGCCGCAGATAGTGTGCCATAATGCATTGGTTTTCCTTTCTTGTTTGTGGAATAGCACTGTCTTCTTAAGGTGGTGTGCTCAGAAGCTGTAACAACCTATTCCCAGAAAATGGAAATGCAATGTTAGTATTGCTTAATGCACTAACCAACCAAATGGCGAAAGAAACGAAGGAAAAATGCAAGGCTTCTTTTCTCAGTTATGTCATGCTGTTTGAGTGATTGGTCGAACCATTAATAGAAGCAGACTGTGCTCTAATAATTTTCTCTTAGAGAAAAGTTTTGAATAAATGCATTTTAAAAATTCATTTGTTGTGTAGTGTGGGAAACACAGAATTGAAAACTGGTTGCGACGAGACGCAGTGTTGTGATTTCATTTCATTTCATTTCATTTATTTATACTGTTAGCCCAGAAGTGGGCCGTTACAGGGTGGAAGTACAAACAATTATTTGCAAAAAAGAAGTACCGTACAGGTCTCGAGATAATTTCTCGGTATTATTGTGACCAGCAACTCGAAGTTATACATAACATACATAAATGGAACACACATGCGATGCAATACATACGCGCAGAACAGCACATGACGCATTTGAGGCGGCACTTTTGCACCGCGCTGAAGATTTGAAAGACAACTACTGCAGGATCATGCAACCAACAAAAAGTACACACACACGCAAAAAAAAAAAACATATGTCACTGTTATTCGGAAAATAAACGTTTTAGATTCTGTTCAAATGATGTAAGCGAGGAACAACCAATTATAGACTCTGGCAGCATATTCCAATCTTCAATAGCACGTGGAAAGTAACTGAACTTAAAGCAATCGTTACGTGGGACTAGGGGTGGTATATACATATTATGGCGATGTCTGGAGTGTTCTTGTGTGTTGACCTGGAAGTAATCTGAATAGTTTAGTTTAAATTGATTATGAATTAACTGGAAGAGGAATTTCAGACGCTCAATCCTCGTCCTAAGTTCAGGACTATCCAGTCCAGCTTTTTTACAGAGTTCAGTAGGAGAATGATGTCGGCTATATTTATTAAAAATAAATCTCGCACCAAGTCGCTGTATTTTTGTTATTTTATTGCAGTTTGTCTTTGTGTAAGGGTCCCAGACAATTTTAGAATATTCGATAATAGGTCTGACAAGAGTTTTGTAAGCAAGACACTTTATATCAGATGGGGCGGTATAAAGGTTACGTCTAAGGCTATACAATGCCTTGGTAGCCCTGGAGCATACATTATCAATATGAGTGTTCCACCGGAGGTCGGGCGTGAACCATAACCCAAGATATTTATAGTTTTGTACACGCTTGAGGAAAGCATTGCCAATCTGGTAGTTGTAATCTAGAGGTGCTTTCTTTCTAGTTATAGTCATAAAGACTGTTTTTTCTGTGTTCAAACTCATTTGCCATTCTTCGCACCAATTCTTTATTCTTTGAAGATTGTTGTTTAGATTAACTTGGTCATGTTCAGTCTCGATTCTACTATAAACAACACAGTCATCGGCAAACAACCTTATCGGGACCGTAACGCGGTTTGGTAGGTCATTTATATATAACAAAAATAAAAGGGGACCCAGCACG